CCTGTGTTTACTGCAGGGTTGGAAGAGACCAGATATTCCAATCCAGGCCTCTGTTTTGCAGGTTGTCAGTCAGCTAACTTTTGTGAGAAAGAAAATCTATCAACACTGGAAAGTATATATTTTAAAAACAAAAACACCATAACATAATAGAATTCCATTGTAATATGTCTCATTTTTAATAGGGCTGGAAAGCTTTTGAGAGAAACTACTATTTTCTGCTAACTTGATAACCAATTATTAAATCAAATTTAAGAGATTTTTCTCTCTATTTCCTCATTCAGGGACCAGCCCCTATAAAATCAGTCTCTGAAAGACATGGCTGATAGATGAGATTGCCCAAATTGGAAACATCCTCCTAGATCTTGTGCAGGACCTCACCCATCTAGGAGATCTTGCTTCTGTTTAGAGTGTAATCAGAATCTAATCTAGGTGAATTCCTGCCCAAAGTGTCAAGCCTTGTACCCCTCCATTGGAATTTAGGGTAATCCAGCTAAGGAAGGATAAAACCAACCAGAGTGGTCTGGGTAGAGATGGATTCCTTTGTCCAGATTGCTGGAGGCAGCTGAGTTTCATGAACAAGCCACGTTCTCAGCAGAAGCTGAAGACTTTAAGTTCACCTCAGCATTTGGAAGTCTACCTCCTCGTTAATTGCTCACCAATCAGGGCTGATTTTCACCTGTCAGGAGCACCCCCTTTTCTAAAATCATATTAAGGCATTCAAAATCTCCATTAGGTGTCTTTGGTTACTGAGAGAGGCCACTGACCATCAATTTATTTATTATCAGCTAGCATAATTAATAAATTGATTATTAATTACCCAGAAACTCTGTCTCTCAGGCTTTTCACTGTCTCACTTTGAGGTCATCTGGTCCCACCCTCTTATATGAAAGATGAAAAAAAAAAAGCCAAACCAAAACAAGGCCCACAGAGGTTACAACTCATATTCTTACCTTCCTTCAAAACTCATGGATGCGGCTGCCCCTTTAAATTGAACTCTACATTATTTTCCACTTTGACTTTTCCTGAGCTTTTTGAGTGATCTGGTTGCCTTTCAAGTAAGAAAACCCCAGAGTCTCATATACAAGTAGTACAATTTCAGCCTGCTAGGTCTCTGAGAGGCATTTCAGTTACAAAGAAACATGTGAATTAATGAGTGTTTTTCTGTTGAAGTGTATAACCACAATTGACCACATGACCTCTGAAATGCTATAATGATCATAATAACATTTATGTAATATGTTACCATTAAAAAATGTTTTACCTTTACCTAAATTACCTCAACTGATCAATTCTAATCTGATTTTTCACAACTCTATGAGATAGTACAAATATTATAATAGGGGTGGCAGTGTGATATGTAGGAGTCAGAGGCTCTGAGTTCAAATCCCATCTCTGATGCATGCTACCTGTGTAACCTTAGACAGTTTACTTCCCTTCCCTGGGCACGAGTTTCCTTAAGTATAAAATGATGGTTTTGGACTAGATGACCTCTGAGATCCCTTCATTTTACAGATAAGGAAACCAAATTTCAGAAAGGTTAGGTAACTTGCCCAAGAGTACACAGTTATATGGGGGGAAGGTGTGTGTGTGTGTGTGTGTGTGTGTGTGTGTGTGTGTGTGTGTGTGTGTGTGTAGTTAGAGTTATAGTCAAACTGTAACCCAGGCCTTCTGATTACCAGGCCAGAACTTTTCCCACTGTACTACTTCATTTTAAACCCAGTTCTTCTAATACCAAATACAGGGTTCCTTCTATCATATCCATTCAAAGGACTTTCAAATCCTCCATTTTTTTGACCAACCATAGGAATATCATGAAAAATGCCTTTTGATGCTTCAGGTATAATTTGTCAGGGAAAAAAGGCATTTTTAAGGTTACGTCCTTCTGTTGTAGTGAATTGCTCTGCTGACTGGGAGATTTTTTTTCTTCTGTCTTATTTAGCATTATGTATGTTGAGGATGGGGAGAGTGGAGAGAAAGAAAAGGAAAAAAAATAGAACCAATTTGCTCCTAGTCAGAAAACAAGTCCATAGTTTTTATTGTATTTTTCAACTAATTTCTTGTTTCATTGTGATGGTGGCTATAGTGACTAGAGAAATTAGGATCCTAGGCAGAGGTGTAACTAGGGTGGAGAGAGACCTGAGTTTTTCCTAAGGGTGACAAATTTAGAGGATGCTGACTGTACTTGTAGCCCTTCAGTAGATTACAAACAGCAGAGGTTAGCACCAAGTTAGCAAGAATAATTAGTTCAACTAGAAAATTCTGAAACTGTGGGCAGTGGCAAACTCTTGTGCACTTGCTCCAGGTGCAACAATTTCTAGTTATGGCTCTCGATAATAGGACTTAGAGATGAGAAAACAGAGGCAATGAGAAATAAAGTGAGGTACTGGAGGTTATACAAGTAGTTAGAAACAGAGCCAGAGTTCAAATTCAGATTTTCTGGCTCTGATTCTGGGAATTCTGCCACTACTCCATGAATACACCCGTGGGCCAAAGGTGAGGTTAGACAGATGAGGTTACCTGATGCCCTGTGGCCTATGTGTTTCCATCCTTTTCACCAACCTGCTTTTCTCATCCTGCACAGGTGCAAATGAGCCTTTCCATTCTGTATCTGTTCTTGTGGAGTCATAAGCCCGAGCACGAGATAACACCATGAGCTCTTAGAGGAGCCCTAATACCAACATAGTATCTGTTTTCTACCTTCATGTCTTGTTATTCTCATTTATTCATCTTTTTGCTCTGATTTCAGCCAGACTGAGAACCCAGGGAGTGGTGAAAGGAAAGATGTGTTTTCAACAGCTTTTGCAATTTTAAATCCATTTGGTGTCTGAGGCCTGGATGGGAGACTGTCAGTCAGGGAGCCAGTTGTTAACTCTTCAGGCCCAATAGGCAGTGAGAGGCCTGTTGTAAGCAGTGAAGCATTCACATAATGAGGCTGACTTCCCTTTTGATTCTAGTTCAAAAAGCACATCATGGCTTTGTTGTTCTTTCCTAAATGCTGTCTGTTTTGACAGCCTTCTCTGACATGCAGAAGCAGCCTACTTCAAGCAAAGTTAATTATAATGTTCTCGCGCTCTCCTTTTCCTTCTGTCTTTCTGTGAAGTTACAGTGACGGGCCCAAGTCGCATTGTGCCCATTTTCCTTGATGTCCCTTGACAGCCTCTATCAAGGTTGCCTGAGGCATAATTGTGATGCAGATGGGTTTTGTGCCTAGTCACAGAATCACAGAATCTTATAGCTTGTAAAGAGCCTCAGAGGCCACCTCATTTAACCCAAATCTAGGTAGAAATTCTGTCTGCAATATCTTTGACCAGTCATTATCCAAAGTCCACTTGAAGACTGCCTGTGAGCTCACTATTTCATGAAGCAGCCCATTTTGCCTTTGGGCATTTCCAATTAGGGAGGCTTCTGTGATCTCTCTTACAGCTAAACTATTGACTTTTGGGACACCCTATATTTAACCAATATGATCTAAAGCAGTGGGACTGTGGGAGGGGGGCAAAACAGCTTTTCTATTTGCTAGCTGTGTAACCTTGAGTGAGTTGACTTTACCTCTCAATGTCCTCATCTATAAAATAAGGGTGGTGGGCCTAGATGATCATTTCTAACTTTCCTTCTAGTCCTAAATCTTATCATACTATAAAGTGCAGGAAGGCAGATTTTGATCCTACATAAACAGAAACTTCTTAACATTTAGTTTTGCCCAACAATGGAATGAACTAGGGCTCAAAGCAATGCATTTCTAGTTACTAGAAATGTTTATACACAATAGCTAGCATAAAGAGAAGCTGGTTTATCATCTACCTGGAGAACTGTAGGTCCCCTTTCCTTCTGAATTTCACTTGTACTGTCAAAGGCACCATCATTCTGATTCTCTGTGACCACATTTTGGGGTTTTCTTGGCAGATATACTAGAGTGGTTTGCCAGTTCCTTCTCCAGCTCATTTTACAAATGAAGAAACCGAGGCAAACAGAGTTAAGTGACTTGCCCAGGGTAACAGAGCTAGCAAGTGTCTGAGGCCAGATCTGACCTCATGAAGATGCCTTCCTGATAGCAAACCCAGTGCTTTATCCACTGTGCCATCTAGCTGCCCTATCATTCAATTACTCAGATTTGAAAACTCAGTGTTATCTTCAACTCCTCTCGGTCCCACCCCATATATCTAATCATTCACCAAATCATTTTGATTTTTTCTCTTCCACATCTCTTCATCTATCCTCTTCTCCCATACACACAGCTACTCTTAAGTTAAGGTCCTCATCCACTCCTGTTTGGAATATTGCAATAGCTCTCTAATTGTTCATCCTACCTCCTACCTCATCCTTTAAATAGTGACTGGAGCGATTTTCCTAAATCACAGAGCTGACCATGTCACCTTCCTCCTAACTGAACTCTAATGGCCTTCTATTATCTCTCATTCCAAATATAAAGGCATTTATTTGACATTAAAGCTTTTTCATAAACTTTATCCTTTCACCCTTTACAATCTTTTTATATTCTTTTCCTCTCCAGATATTCTGCAGTTCATCCATGCTGGCCTACTTCCTGCTCCTTGCATATGACATTACATCTTCAATTTTTGTGCCTTTGCCTATGCCTGGAACACTATTCTTCCCAACTTCAAACTCTTAGAATTCCTGGTTTCCTTTAAAACTCAGCTTAAGGGCCATCTCTTCCAGGAGCCCTGGTCCCCCAAATGTTAATACCCAACCTTGCTAAGTTTTCTTTTCATCTACTCTCTCCTACTGGAAAATGAGCTGCTTGAGGACAGAGACCTTTTTGTTTTATTTTGTTTTTGTAGCCCCAGAGCTTAGTTATGGGGCTTGGCACTTGTAAGCGCTTGATACATTTTTGATTGATTGATTTCCACTTGACAGGTATCTCCTTTAATAGGATGTCTAGTATCCTGGGTTTAATGAAATCAGCATTGTGAAATCTGCAAACAGGAACACTTAGGGTACCTCACAATTTATAGAGAATTCCTCTTCTGCTTTAATTCTAGATATGCTATGCTCCATGACGATGTTGAACACCTTTGGTGAGCCCATGTCTCTATTTTATGCCTTTTTTGTTCTTAATAATTAGACGATTGTTAAAATCATCTTTTTGGTTGCAGCTATCTTAAGATCACTTTGTATGATCTAAATATGTTGTTGAAGAAGAGCCTTTAAGACTGGATTTTGCTCTCCTAAGTCAAATGGTTTTTTTATAGTCATCAAACTCAGTTGTAAACTGTATCTTCTAGATCAAGAGACATCAGACATGCAGCCAGCTGCCTGTGATACTACTGTGCAGCCCGAACTAGATTAAAATGTCGTTGGGAAATATTTAACAAAATAAATTAAAAATATATAATAAAATATAGATCATTTGAATATGTGGTTTTCTAAGTCACCCAAAGGGATCTTTTGTATAATTTAATGGTCCCCGTTTCTATTTGAGTTTGGCACCACTGCTTCGTAGGGTAGCTAGGTGGTGGGGTGGATAGAGTAAAGGGCCTGAAGTTAGGAAGACTCATCTTCCTGAATTCAAGTCTGGCCTCAGATACTTTTTAGCTTACTTAGGCAAGTCACTTAACCTGGTTTGCCTCAGTTTCCTCATCTGTAAAATGAGCTGGGGAAGGAAATGGCAAATGACTGTAGTATCTTTGCCACAAAACACCAAATGGGGTCACGAAGAGTAGGACATGACTGAAATGATTGATCAACAACAACACACATTGCTCTAGATAGTTCAACTCAACTTGGAAGCTTTGGTCTGCTGCAGAAAGCTCCTGCAGGAGACTTCTCTTATCCAGGTAGCATTTTTAAGTATTAATGTTTTTTTCAGTAGGTCAGTTTGGAGATGTTATCGTCACAAGAAGTGTCTTCTGATCTTTCTCATTTTCCTAATTTGATGCTGATTTTAATTTAATCTCTCTGGGCCTCAATTTCCTCACTGGCAAATGAGGAGGTTGGACAAGATATACTATAAGGTCTCTTTCAGATCTAAAATAATTGATTATTCTATGAGCTTTCTTTTTAAAGAGGTTATTCATAATATATAGTAATGAGCCTTCTGAGTAACCTTTGCTTTCTTTCATTATTAGTCCTGAACCATATTTTCTAATAGATATTTGGTTTTCACCTGTTCCCATCTTCACATTGATGTCATCAAGTATAAACCATATATGCAGACTACACAGGCTCTTGTCACATTCCACATGTCTTTTTTTTTTTTGTGGCTCATGCTTATCATGAGCATTTTAAATTAGGACCACTCATTGCAGTAATTAGGATGAGGCCTCTCTGTGAGAGTTTGAGGAATATTAAAGATGAGAAGACTTTATCAACTTCTTTCCTTTTCAGTTCCTCTGGAGGCAAATGCTTCTCCAAGTGAGCATTTTTGTGGTTGTCCACAGCGTATACCTGTGAAAGACAAAAGAGGAAACTCCCATACAACTTAGCTGTCCAAAAGAGATTTATTCGAGGATATTCCAACTGGCTGGAGATGAGAAGTAGGTGTTGTGGACCATCAGATTCAAAGAAGGATAATGTTGTGGCAGCTTCCTCTCAATGGTTTCCCAATTTTCCCTTTTGTATAGGAAAAAATCCCATCTCTGGCAAGTATAAAGACATGCTCCCCCTTTTTTTGTGGTTCCAGGATGTGACTGGTGTGGAACAAGGTGCCATCTATTACTTTCACTTCTAGATCTATTTTGGGGCTTTTTTGAATACAGTAATTGGTTGAAGGATATAAGAAGATGGGATTGGATATTTCCTCATTTACTCACAGTTGGTTAAAAAGGGGAATAAGGAAGATCTTATCTATAATTCCAAATTGTACAAGGGCCATTTTGGCCCATATAGATAGCTATTTATGAAATTAGTATCGGGGAAGTGACAAGACTTTGTTGGTTGATCTTAGGGGTGAAAACAAAGGAGAGAAATAAGCTTTCACAACTACATGGATCTACAGGATATTAACCAATTCTAAATTGCTCGTTCAATGCCAGGAGGATAGTCTTAAGTTGGTCTCTCAGCACGAGGATCAAAAGCCTCATGGAGGTGCTTGTTTTCATTCCTTTCCCCTCAGATTCTTCTACATATTGATTCAGGCTCTATTGAGGAGTGGGAATGAACTTCTATTACACAAGATACCAACAAAGGAGAAAGATCTTAATTACTATTAGAGCTGTTTCTAAATGTAAACATGCATGTGGAAGTTCCATAGGACACATATCTTTTAGAGGATTGATAGCATCGGCAGTTGAAAAATTCTAAGAAACAAATATATCCTGATACATAAGCCAGATGCCATGAAACAAATTATGGCAGTCATAGTGTAGTGGACCCTAGAATGCACTGTATTGAAAAACAATCAAACGTCTCATGAAATGGTGTTTCCTGTTGCCTTTGGATGCCCAATGAAACTGACTTTCCCAACTAATTTTTTTTTGCCTTTGCAATGATAACCTTTAAAATATTCTTCTATTTAGTTGCGTCTTCCTTATATCTTCTGATTTCATTCATAGTGAGAATATCAATATCAAAGCAGTTTACTTCCTTCAGTAATAGATCAACTACTTGGTAATTGGACAAGGATCTCACATTCAGTGTACTGAAAGTTAAATTAATGCTTATAGACGGTTGGCTATTGATTTTAGAATCTTCTGCCTTCTTTTCCACCACTATGTCACTATCACTGAAGAAAAGTGGAAGTGGACTGCAGAGGGCAGAGGGTCATTTTAAATTTTTCTTTGTTTTGTGAGTTGCCATGACCAAATAATTCATCATCTTGTGTCCAACTGGAATTGAGCCCTTCTATTCTTAGCTAAACTGGGCCTTGGAAAGCAGACACATTCTGTCACTGAGATTGTTCTTAAAGCCTTTCCAGAGGGACAGAACCTTCCAGGGCTTGTCCTCTGCTGTCATTGCCTTTGAAAACCGAGTGTTTCCTATGTGACACAGTGAGGCATCAAAGTAGGGTGGCTGTGGAGAGAGGATGGTTTAGGATAAGTGTAATAATTGCTCCATATAGTGAGCAACAGGCTTAGGTAACTTTGTATCCCAAGAAACAGCTAGATAGAACATTGGAGAAGATGCTAGACTCAGACCCAGAAGTATGGGCTTTCAATTCTTCTTCAGACACTTGTTAGCTGTGTGACCCTGGGCAAAGTCACTCAATCATCCTCAGCCTCAGTTTCCTCATCTGTCAAATGAAGGGGTTGGACTCAATGGCCTCTAAGGTCTTTTCTACCTCTAAAACTATGATCCTATGACCTATGATATAAGAAGAAAAATAGAATGAAAGGTTTGATAAGTTGTATTTGTTGTTGTTTGGTCATTTCAGACTTTCCATGACTCCATTTGGGGTTTTCTTGGCAAAGATACGGAATGGTTTACCATTTCCTTCTCCAGCTCATTTTATAGACGAGGAAACCAAAACAAACAGAATGAAGTGACTTGCCCAGGGTCACACAGCTAGGAAGTGTCTGAAGTCATATTCGAACTCAGGTCTTCCTGACTATGGACCTGGCACTCTATCCACTGCACCACCTAATTGCCTTGATAAGTTCTATTATCATTTTAAAAAGCTTTTTTTTTTTGAGACAGCATGTTATAGGGGAAAGAACACTGGCTCTGGAATCAGAAGATCTGGGTTCAAATCCCACCTCTACATACTGCCTGTGTTACCCTGGGCAAGTCATTTTACTCCATTTGTTTTAATTTCCTTACCTATAAAAGGAAGGAGTTGGCCTTGATGGCCCCCAAGTTCCCTTTCAGCTCCAAGGTCTATGATCCCCTGAACCTATCTGTACGTTCTCTTACTGAAGGTGAGGGATCCTTTTGATTGGAGAGGCAGTGTTATCTCTAATCTGTGTAGATTTAGCCTTCACATACCTAGATTTAAATTGCCACTCTTCACTTATGACCTATAAGACTTTGCACGTGGCAGGCAGCTGGTGGCTCAGTGGATAGAGAGCTGGACCTGTAGTCAGGAAGACCTGAATTCAAATGCAGCCTCAGACACTTGCTAGCTGTATTACCCTTAGCAAGTCTGCCTCAGTTTCCTCAACTGTCAAATGGGGATCATAATAGCACCTACCTCCCAGAGTTGTTGTTGTCAGGATCAAATGTCATAATATTTGTAAAGTATTTTGAATGGTGCCTGGCACATGAATGGTATTATATAAATGCTTATTCCCTTCCCTTTGGGCAAGTCATCTAATATCTGTAGTCTTCCTCATCTGTAAAATAATGGTAGAACAGATAATTTCTAAACTCCCTTCCAGTTCTAGCTCTTATGATCCTACGGCTAATCTTTTAATATTGATCCAATCCGTTTCTTATTGAATTTTGTAATTTTATAAAACAACTTTTCATATTTGTAGCCCACTGACAAATCATTGCTAGGTAATTATCACTAAATACAAAAGAAAAATGCTGCCCCATGCTGTGCTTCTAAAATTTCCAAACTAATTATACCTTAAGCCAAAATATAGAATTTGTTGCCTCAAGTTTCTCCATGATGTCTTAATTCATCACTAGCAGCTGTTGTGTATATCGTGGCAGTCAGAGACATAAGCAAAAATAAAAATCCCTGCCTTAAGCCTGGTGTTGAACACTGTCCTTCCAGCATGTGCACATTATGGTGCATTTCAAAATGTCCAATTGGTGTAATCCATGGCAGGCACAAAGTAGCAGCTTTCCTGACCTCGTTCAGCTGTTGCTTTTCAGGCAGGTTCTTGGAGGCCCCCTGACAAAATCTTCTAATCAGAATCTGCCTCGTCTTGAAGCTCTTGGTTTCCATTCCCTTCTCTTTGCTCCAATTTTACAATTCCCCAGCTGCTCCTGTTAGTGGTTTAATCTTTCCAATCAACTCTCCTAACCATTTCTTGAATTTCTTCCTTCAGTGACTGTGAGCTCCCCCAGCTGCTCTTGCCCGTCTTGTTCTTTTTGCATGCCAGAAAGTCTAGCCTTCAAAAGAGTTTGAGTCTCTTTATTTTGCTTTCCAGTGTAGTTTAAACGCAAATACTTATTAGCTAAAATATTTCTA